AGGACTGCGCCTCGGACAGACCGGGACGCGCCGGGCTCTGAGCCCAGCGGGAAGCCAGCGCGGAGCTGGTACACGTGGCTGCAGAGAGCTTATGTTAATGCCGTGGGCCTTGAATTCTCTGGAGTCATACCCTTTGGAACATCTTTGAGAATTATAGGCCGTAATCTTCAGCAAAATAGATACACCTGCCAGAATTTACTGACAATATAAAGGAAGTTCAGAACATCTTTTCAGGAATAAAGCGATTAACCCTGGCAGGCGTGGATCCATTGGTTGGATGTCCTCCCCCTGCGCCAAAAGGTTGCTGGTTGACTTCCCAGTCAGATTACCTGCCAGGATTTCAAGCTCAATCCCCCTCTTCGACCCCCTCACCCCCTCCACACACACACACCCAGGGCGCGTACAGGAGGCAGCAGATAGATGTGAGAGTAGAACATCATGTTTCTCTTTTTCCCTCTTCCTTCCTCTCTCTAAAAAAAATAAAAATAAATCCTGGCCGGTGTTGCTCAGTGATTGAATGTGGACCTATGAAACAGGAGGTGAAGGTTCGATTCCCTGTCTGGCCGTCTGGGCACACGCCTGGGTTTGTGGGCTCAATCCCCCAGATGGGGATGCGCAGGAAGCAGCCTATCAATGATTCTCTCTCATCGTTGATGTCTCTCTCTCTCCCTCTCTTCCTTCCTCTCTGAAGTCAATTAAAATATTTTAAAAAAATAAAAATTGATAAAAAATATTTTAGAAACAGAAAGAAAATGAAGAGAGAAAAAAGAACAAAGCGATGAAAAGATCAACTGAGTCATACCTGTCCAGCTTATTGGTCAGGCAGTAGGTGATTAGACAGCATAAAACAAAACAAAAACCCAACTGAAAAAAATACTGCTCAGCAGTGGAAACAGCCCTTTTGCGATGTAAAAAGATGAACCAGAAGTTAAAGGTAAAACTTCCAAGGACAACCTGCTGCATGAAGTTTCGTACATGTTCACATTAATGCTCAAGAAGATACATGCTCTGTTAAATTAGAAAGTATTTTTTTTCTCGTTTTCAGAGTGATCTCCCTTCCTTTTTCCATCCTACACACTTTCATTCCACCGCTTCTTCACTGCTTCCCACAGTGACTACTTGATTGCATTTGTGCAATCATAAAAAGCAGAAATTCTTTCAATTGCTGAAATGATGCAACTGTTATTGGGGAAAAAAATGTCTCGTCTTCCCCCATTGCTAGTGGAAGTGGGGTTCTTGAGGTACCGCTTGAATAAGCATTTCCAGAGGTCCCCGAGATATAGTACAAAGCTTTACTTCCCTGGAATTACACCCTGGTTCCCAAAGTCCGATTTCCCTAGTCCAGTCATAGAAGAAGTGTTGCTGAGGTTTAGTAAAGCTAGAAACAAAGCCAGTGTCCAGAGTTTCCTTTCCTTGTTGGAGCTGGGTCCCGTTCAGCATCGGGCTAGATGCGGTCCATTAGTCCATTGTGTGTTGGGTTCACATGGCCATGGGAACACAGGAGCAAAAGAGCCCCATAATCTCCGAGTCACTCAAGTCCTAAAAGAGCCAAGAGCACACAAGAGAGCAGGAGAGCAAACTTCTTTGATTAATGGGCTCTGCATCCCCAGTGTCCGCACTCTTGCAGTGGCCACGCCCATTCTGGCCAACCATCTCTGTCCTCAGGTGTGATTGACAGCAAGCACCTTTACTGGGCATGTGTCTATCTTCCCTTTGTTGGACTCCTAGGGAGTGTAAAGCAGCTTCCTAGTGAAGCTGCCCAAATGACATGCCTATAATATCTGGCCTTTCCTTTGCTCCTTTCCTATTATTAAAAACTAGCTAAAAAAAAGAGAAAAAAAGAAAGAACTAGCTAAGTACAACTGTATCACAACTTCATATCAGTTCAGTTTACACTGTTGACATTTTATACAGGTGACACATAGTTGCATTTACTAGTTTAAGGCATTTGTAAAAGATTACAGATGTATTGTTTAATCTTCCAGTAACAGGAGTTAATCATTTATTACTATAAACAGACAAAATTGCCATAGGATCATGAATGATTATGGAAGAAAAGAATACAGTGATATTGGATTACATAAAATCAACTTGGTCATTGGCCTTTAAAAAATAAATATTTCACCCTGACGGATTTGGCTCAGTGGATAGAGCGTCGGCCTGTGGACTGAAGGGTCCCAGGTTCGATTCTGGTCAAGGGCATGTACCTTGGTTGCAGACACATCCCCAGTAGGGAGTGTGCAGGAGGCAGCAGCTGATCAATGTTTCTTCTCATTAATGTTTCTAACTCTCTATCTCTCTCCCTTCCTCTCTATAAAAAAAATCAATAAAATATATTAAAAAAAATAAATATCTCATTAGATGAATCAAGTTAAACTTTTAACTTAAAAATGCTAATTAATATTTTAAAACTGCTTTGAGGTTACAAGTATTGTGTTTGTCTACTGAGCATAACTGAATTTGGAGGCTTTGGAAGGAAATAAATAGAAAGATTTATTCAGGAGTCTTAGGGTTTGCAAACCAGAATCACAACTAGGCAATACCCAGAGTGTTCTGAAGAAGAAATAAAAGCAGAGAGGGTTCTTATGGTAAAAAGTATATCCTTAAGAAGAATCAGTCCTGCATTCTTAGCCCCTGCATTGGTCTGAGATAGTATTTCTCTAGATCAAGCATGTCAAACTCGCGGCCTGTAGGCTGCATGCCTCGTTTATTTAGCCTGTGTTAGCCTTTGAGTTTGGCATGCTTGCTCTAGATAACCAGTGGTCTGGATATTGGATGTCAGGTGGTGGCCTGGATACATGAACATTCTTTCCTTAGTCCTTCAGGAGTTATCAGATGGTGACCTGGAGGCTTGATGTATATTCAGGCATTGATGCAGAACTAGAAAGTTCAAAAGTTTAAATTCCCAAGCTAGTTAGAACAAGAATAGAATTGTTTCCTCATACCTTAACCTAATAGATGTTAGTAATTTAACAGCTCGATTACAGTGACTCCATTTTATTTCTTATTTATGATTTCTAACTTTTTTTCACAAAAACCCCACATTTCTTTTCCTCATTTGAAGCAGCCCCTGCTATATTGCATTATGGGGATTGTAGTTTTTAGAGGCTTAGAATGCAAAGTAGACTAAGCTCTCATTTCCCTCATCAGGGCTGCACTAATGCACACCACAAACACAGAATTGAGCTCGAAATTGAACCTACAATTGTGGGCTCCAGCTTTTTATTTAGCTTAAGTGTTTAATCTTACATAAGAGAGGAGCAAATCAGATAGCGCTTTGGTTGGGGTCTGCAGGTGAGTTTAAAGTTATTTTTTAATGCAGGAGGAACAAGTTCATTTTTTTTTTTTATTCTCACCCAAGGATGTGTTTATTACTGTTTTAGAGAGAGGCAAGGA